AAAGAGGTTGTATTCTACAGTCTGCCTGAATGTAATCATTGCGTAGGTGTGTAGTGTGATTCTGTGTAGTTTATTTATGGCATCCCGTTGGATTTGACGTCATCTGAACAGGACATCGCACGCTCACTGCTTGATAGCGCGAAGGTCCGTTTACGCCGGTTGTTAAACAACATCGTTATGGGGAAATGCAAGTCTGCGTCCAAATGGTTGGAAGATAAGGAGGAAGGACAATCAATACTGTATATAGTAAATGTGAGGTGAAGTGTGTCGCCAAGGTAACCGGTTAGAACTCCAAGTGGCGATGAGGTCTTAAAATGTATGGAAAGGGTCTTAAAAAAAGGTCTTAAAAGGTTTTACATTTGACTTCAGGATTCCTTCATATACTCTGACTAATGATCTGTATAGCATGCCTCCGTATTGCAGAATAGTCATCCCATTTGTTTTTTAAAAAACCTCTCCTTGTTTTGTTCCAGAAATTAGTTTTTGACATCCCAGTCTTCCATCCTCTCGTTGACCCCGTGTCTGGAGAGCTGGATGTCAGGAGAGCTTTTACCAAATGGAGGTACGCTCTGTCCTCTTTATGTCGATGCAATTAACTCACCTTTCTTCTTCATACATAAATGTTTTAGTGAATAATAAATGATTCATTCTGCTTTACTAAATGCCATCCCCCTCACACACTACCTTAACCCCCCGCTGACAGCCAGGCTTTGTCAGTTTGTCTATTGGGAAATTAACTCTGGTTAAGGTTTAAGCTTATTTAGCTGCCTGAAGAGTCATCCTTTGGCCCAAACAGAATTAGGCTGAAAAGAAACCATCTTTTGAGAAGAAAATACAAATTACAAAACATGTCAGTTTTAGTTTGAGCTACTCTGTAATAGTGCAGTATTAACCGTTATGTTTTCTTAGATTCATCACATTAAAAAAGCATTCGTATTTCCTGACTAAAACTGCTAATGTTTTGTTTTCGTAGACGGAATCACAACCACATCTGGCAAGTCCTGATGTACGCACGTACCATTTTCTACAAGATCAACACCACAGAACCCCTCAACCCAGAGGCAGCCGTGCTGTGAGTGTCCAAGCTCATTTATTATATATCCTTTTTTATTCTTAAGTAAGAGTTGAACCATCAAAAAGCGTCACTGACTCAGTAGTGCGTGGGACACATCAGAGGATTTATTTTTAAAAGTTTTACACTATACAATATCTGCCTTTTTTGTTTAGCGAATCCATCACTATTTTTTTTGTATTCTCTATTAAGTGAAATAAGACAGAAATGTAATAAATATTGTTTACATGTAATTCACAAATAATTTGAAACATTTATTATCTTTAATCTTAAAAAAGGGACGAGGAATTACCCAGTTTATGATAATATTTAATTTTTTTTCTAGCCTTCCAGCCTTTAGATTCCTTTGAGATATTAGTTCAAACCAATATCTCACAACGTGTTTTTACTTTTGATTTCAGATATGAAAAGGATGTGCAGTTATTCAAAAGCAAAGTGGTGGATAGTGTAAAACTATGCAACAGTCATCTTTTCGACCAGACCAAGATAGATGATCCCTACGCAATAAGGTGTGTGTGTGTGTGTGTGTGTGTGTGTGTGTGTGTGTGTGTGTGTGTGTGTGTGTGTGTGTGTGTGTGTGTGTGTGTGTGTGAAATGCTCTCACTCACAGCGCCACTCTTGTTTACTTAGCTTTTCTCCATGGAACCCAGCTGTTCACGAGGAAGCAAAAGAGCGGATGTTCACACATAAAGTAAGTATTCTTTCTAGGTTTATTTATCTATAGAGCATTTTACACAAGGGCAATTTGAAATGGGTTTACAAAACAATTTAACATTTAAAAAAAAAAAAAAAGCTCAAATAAAACAAGAACATTCATAAAAATATTAGAAAAGATATTTAGAAATCAACATTGGAATAACAGTATATTCTGCAAGAGGAGCAGAAGTATACAAATCAAATGTTTTTAAATACATTCTGGAAAAGCAGGAAGGTTTGGGGCCTTAAAAAAAAAAAACCTCTTTCGGTCTTAGACTTTTTGTTTTGATTGGGATTTGAAGAGTGCAGTCTGAGCATTTTTTTTTTTTAACCAAATACAAACACATAAAAGGAATTTGCATTGGTATAAATGGTGCATACAAAGACACAGAAAGAATAATACATAGCAAAAAGGAGTAGTATTATAAAAGCTATTGTAACAAATACAAAAATAAAGACAATATTTACACAAAATATAAATATGTGAGGATAAAGTCAAATATGACATACTATATTCAAAGTGGAGAGCCGATTTTAGATTTGGATTGTTCAAGCTGTTCCTTAACTGCTCATCTGCCTTTGTCCCCGTAGAGACGGCCTGACGATCACCACAAGGGCGCGCAGGTGTCGGGTCTGTCCTGGGTGAAGCCCGGCTCCACGCAGCCCTTCAGCAAAGACGACGGTCCTCCTCCGAGCTGAAGCTGCCACCAGAGGGAGCCACACGCATGAGATGCCACGCCACCGGCTTACCTCTGCTGTTCAAGGGAACTGGATCCTCGCGACAGTTGGGAGAACTTTCTGTTAAACCTCCACGTTATTGCTCGGCTTCAAAAGCTTCGTAGGCATCTCCTCAAACGGCTTTAGAATAAGGAAACAAAGTTTGTATTATATGTAAATCGACGATGGCAAATGGATGTCTCGGCAACATCATTTTAGGCTGCGATGCAATCAAAGAGCTTTCTCATTTTTAGATTTTCAGATCCATGCACATGTTGGGCTAGGCGATACAACATACTGTCCCAAAAAGGAGCTGAAAAGTACGAGTAAAGCGTTAAAGTAGAGTGGACTCCACTGGCTCAGGACTGTTTATTTGTCAGACTTGGAATGTTGTCAGTCACAGCTGTGTGAATGAAATGCCCTAATTACCACCCCTCCTGTCACCCAATTAGATCTACACGATATGTTTTATAATTGTTTCTTATTGGATATTGATTTCTTCTTAATCCCACTGTGTAAACAATTGTCCTACATAGTTTCCTAATATATAAATATATAAAGCAGAGCAGGCCACCTATGGGTTTGAAATGAGATGCTAGATAAAGTAAGCTCATGTATTTTATTTTTTGTCTGATTTTTGAATGTTTTATGTACCTTTTTGGCTGTTGGTTATTAAAGGTGTGGTGTGTAAATAATGGATGCTGTGATGAGCATTTAGAGATCTTTCTGCTTGGATTTTCTTTGGGTTTTCTTTGCGAATGTTAAGCTTCCTAACAGATCATTGTCATAAGAATAAATAAGTTACTGCCTATGTCCCACCAGATTCCCACATGAAGGAAAAGGATACATACATATTGGTATTCTGTCCCAACTACAAGATAACACGATTTCTGTTGTGTCGGACAAATTATTATTATTATTTCATGTCTTCATCTGTAGAGGGCTCTTGCTTCAATTTTGGTAATATTGCCCAGCTCCTTTCAATATGCAAATAATAGAAAGCTAAGAATGTAGGAAAAGGATAGGACTTTTAAGGAGGATGTGGCTATACAAGATAAGCCGACATGGTGCTGAGACCTTACTACGAACTGATCTATTTATAGCGTCTGCGTAAGGAAAGGGTGTAACCAAATGTCAGTGAACTCCACGCACTGACATTTTGGCTGACGGCATCTTCAAACGTGTGAGTTGTGATGTGTTCAATATGGACTCCAGTTTGTAAAACACATTACTACATAGATATGGGTTTAAAATGCTTTTCTCTGAAATCAATAAAATTGTAAAAAAACGAAGTCTTGATTTTGTTGTTGGAGGTATCGCACATTGGGAGGGATCATCATACATGTTTTACTTGTCTGTATGTAAAGAAGGTGATGCAGAGCACATATCTTTTACAGAGCTTTCTGGAAATTAATATCTTGTTTGTAAAAGTTTTTTTTCCCTGCATTAGTGACAAACTCCCAATCAGATGCTATTCATATACAAATCACTCAATCATGCTCTGATCATTGTGGTGGAGGGGGCTATGTACAATTTATTTTTATTTTTTTCAACGCAGTACATGATCTTAATCTACTAAAATCAGTTTGTCACTCCTGTCACAGAATCATGTTCAACCATATCTCACAATTACCTTAAAAAAAAAAGGTACATCAGGACATGATGCCACCAGTAAGCCAACAAGCCAAGCCAGTGTATGGTCAGCAGATGTGTCACTACCATAGACTACGTATCACTGCAGTTCTGAGGGCTTAACACTGGCTCTCATCTGTCAAATAATTGATTTAAAAAATACTGCTGCTGGTTTATAAAGCATTGAATGGTTTAGGGCAGGGGTTTCAAACTCAAATACACAGTGGGCCAAACAGAGAACTCATTACAGAATGACTAGGGTCACTGGCAAAGTCAGGACAAGTATTTTCTGTATTATACTGTGCACACATGTTTTTGATGATAACATATATTCGATCAAATTATTATGAATAATTTTGTATTTTTTTATAATAAAAACATGTTTTGCTCCTTTCTGTTTCTTTGTATATACCATTTACACCAAAGCAAATTCCTTGTATGTGTAAACCTACTTGGTAATAAAATCGATTTTGATTCTGATTCTGATTTAGAGAAGCATGCCTCTCAGTCAGCCACTAGAGATCGGTATTGTCCCACAGTGGAGAGCAGCTGTCATTCTTGCGTTGAAGAGTGGTCCGGTGCATGTGCGAAAGTAAAACCTCTCCTGATTCGCTCTGGCTTGGACGCGGCCATCTTATGCACTCTGTCAACATAGGGACTTTACGCGTGAAACCATGATTTAATCAAACACTTTCTGCGGCTGATTTGGAGCTGGACCCTACCAAAACGTGAGTGAGGCTGGAACCGCTTTTTAATTGCAAACAGAAAGGTGAAAAAGTGCCAAATCGCCCGTGGACCAATCAGAGAGGAGGTTACTAATATGCAAATGCATGTTATCACAGGCACGTCAGCAGCAGCAGCGGTGGAGAGCCGCTGCGCCGTGGTCGCCAGCAGGAGTACAACTAACAACACAGTCACAAGTTGGCCGAAAACACACTCTCTACATTGGCGACTGGAGTTGTCTTTTGGGGTCCATTTCAGGTAAGAAACAACACTTGTTCGTGTGATTTCTCAGAGAGGTTTCTTCCTCGAGGGGTTCAATTTCATTCAGAAAATAAGCTGTCAAATAGCTGACAGTCAGTGCCTCGCCTCAGCTGTCTGATGACACAACGCCTTGTGTGTCAGTGCGTATCTTCCCGGTACTAATAACTCCATTACTTGCCAAACACTTAGTTTCCTGTTAGTTTGCATGCTAAACAGCACATTTCTTGGTACTTTCTCGTAGTTTTTTGGGTTAAATGTTAATGCGCGTCGCTGTAAAGTAGTCCTCCGGGGTTCCTTTTGCTCATGGTGGTCCTGAACTGACAGCGACCACTTATATGTGGACTGTTAACAACGCTAAAACGTCGACATTTCCACTCGCAAAGGGGGAAAAAAAGATAGTTAAGGATAAAAAAAAACGAGTTGAATTATCATGGACACCATCACGGTCGACCTCTCCATCCATTCCCTCCTCCTCCTCCTCCTCCCCCTCCTCCTCCCCCTCCTCTTCCTCTTCCTCAGTGTGGGAGCGTCACGACACCTTTTTGAATCCTGTGCTTTTCCAAAGTGGAGGTTTGGCTAACGCCACGTGCGAGCAACTCAACAGTCCGCCGGCTAGCAATTTCTAAAATAAAAAGTCCCATTTAGTGTTAATGTAAGCAGTTTTGCCCAAAGAAGCGCAACACATTGCCGCCTCGTTGGCTTATCAAACACAGTCAGAGCTGGAGCCATTGCTGGGCTGAAGAAGATGAAGAAGATGAGGTGACTTCAGAGGTGAGCCCGGTGTCTGTTGGATGAAACACAGACTCCTTATCAAACTTAGCTAAGCTTTTAAAACACGACAAAGTGTTCCTGGGTGTTAAATGGTACCATTTAAAACATTTGAAAGAGACTTAATTAGGCCTACACAATAATTTCGTCTTCAGTCACTTTCTTCCCAACATGGCTAACTTTGCACATGGACATTTGGATAACATGGTCGCCATTTTTTGGTTTTTCACAATAATCAAGTTTTCTGTAATTCACAACTTCTTAGTTAATTTGAAATTCCCTTCAAATCATAATTGGTTTTATTACCACGTAGGTTTACACCTTTGTTGTAAATGGTGCATACAAAGACACAAACATAAGACTAGGTTGGTTTTTCCAAAGAAAGGAGCAACAAATAGTTCTATAATAAAATATATTTTAAAGACTATTGTAACAATTTAAACATTGTGAGTTTTACATTTTGTATTCAACTATGTTGCCTACACACATTTTGAACCACTGCATTTTTGAGTGATACACAGTAACACCATTTTACCCCATGCCATATTGAGGTTTACAAAATACATTTGCTCTATTCTGTGTTATAAGCTTCTGCATTAGAATGCCTTTAGGTTGCCTACTCAAATATTCCTATCTAATTCATAAGTAATATGTGGCTAATAAATGGCTTACGTTGACATTTGTAGTTTCATGATTAATTGGTGACCTGGGACAGTTATGTGCAAAGTTTTGTTGATATAAGGCCTGAGTTGCACGTGCCTGTATGCTGCTTATAACATCGCAATTGTGAAGGAAACAGCTGTAAGGCAAAGTTTAGGAAGTGACAGGTCATGGGGTCAGATTGAGGGTGTTTTAAGGTTAGCTGGGTTTTGTTTAGCAGCCTCTGGGATATTCTGCAGTGATTCTTTGCAGATGGGAAAGGTTAAACAAACTCGGATATTTTTGAACCCATTTCACTACAGTTGTCATGCGTACCGCTTTACAGCTTCTGCTGTAAATGAACTGCTTACTTAAATATTGATGTTGGGCTTAATGAATAGAATATGAGTAATTGACTGATTCGCTTTTCAACATGTGTTTTGTCTCAGACTTACTTTGAATGTCACCAATGTTTTGGAAATAATTTCAAATTACACAAATTAGTTTAATTCTAACCACATGTTTTTCCAGTTCATTAAAGAAGAAGCACATTTGATTTATTGCCATGTGATCCCAAATGATAATGTAGTAGTATTATTTTAATCATCAGAAAGTATTTGGGCGCAAATATTTTCAGTTCTGACATGATTCAATAATCATTTAGTATCTAGGGAAAGTTTTCTGTTGTGCTTCAATTGTGAGGATGTGAACATTACACCCATTTTCCTCTTTGAAGTCCTCAGTATTGTCTTTCATCCCAGACAGAGATTTCACATGCCTTCCGCTTACAGTGTGAGACGAATGATCAGTATGATGACTATGAAGAGAAAGAAGTCCAAAGAAGCTTGACTAATTAAACATGCAGAAATGTGTCATTTGAGGACTGTCGCATGATTCTCCGAAAAGCATGATGGTAAACAAAAGCAATAAAGTGAAACTGAAATGTGGACGCACAACCCACATTGACAATGCAGGCCTAATGTCTTTGTGAACTGATTTGTATTGGGACCTGTGAAGTGGTTGGTGGGTAAAGTGATAGAATCCATAGAGGAAGATGTAAGCATTGGAATTGATAGACCATTTTCTTACACTTCTGTTTCTTTAGTTTAAAGGTGGGGTAGGTCATTTTGGAGAAACCAGCTCGCGAGAATTTGAAAAAACACAGCCGGAAGAAATCTGCTACTTCCTTACAGAGCCCCTCCTCCAACACACACGAACGCGCACATGACCAATGAGGCCACGAGATCAGTTTGTGCACAGATGGAAGGCTGACAGGCAGGTAGGCCATCCAGTTATTTTAGCCGGGCCGGCTCAGATGATTGGTCGTGCTTTTTAAAGCGCTACGGCTTCCACAGATGAATTTTTTTATGGATTTTTCTGTCAAAGCACTTCAGATATTCATTGCTATCGGGATGTTAAGAGCATTCCATGGAATATAACAAAAAGTGTATCTCGAGCCGGTTTCTCAAACTTACCTACCCCACCTTTAAGATTTAGCATTGGTTTAGTCTTCATGTTTGGGTGAGGGTTTGAGTCATTTGAAACACTCTCACACTCTAAATGGATTGCTGGAATAAATAACCTTGGGTTGCAAATATATTGAGCAATGTTAGTGACTTTACACACAGTCAATATCACCTTCTAATGCCTAACCCACATGTTGGAAAGTGGCCAATTAGTCATAATTCAGTGTAATTACTCAGGCATGGTTCTTCTGTTCGTCAAATGGGAGACTCCTGACAATATTATCATTTTCAAACTTGCTTGCAGATTGTACGATTACATCTCTGTTGCCAGACAACAAAATATATTTTTTAAGTGATTTATTGCGACTTTGATTACATTTCACACTTGAAGTAGTTCAGGCTGGCATAGTTATGGATAGAATAAACTGTGACCAACACCCAGTTTATTTAAAAGAGTACAGTAGTACAATGATATCATTTTGCACTCAACCATTATTTAGCCTGTCATTTGAAAAATATAAAAACCAAAGTATCTCAACAAGTTAGGCCTCTGAAGAAATAGCGTTGTGCTTCTGTGTGCCTGCCTGTGTGCATATCAAGTCAGCATATATAATGACTGATTTGGGTAAGCTTCTGTCATCTTCTGCTGGTCTGTGGTTGCAGAACACACACTCAAAGAACCTCGTCCTTCCCTAGCTGTTGAAATTCTATCAGCTGTCTGCACCTCCCACACGCTCTGCAGTAGCTGTAGAAGGCAGCTTCATTGGTTGTGGTGGTGGGGGGTTGAGGTAAGTATGTGTGTGAAATGGGAGGTGGTACAGGAAGAGGCACCTGCTGGTGACGGGCGGTTGGTTTGCACCAGCTGCTTTGCTGCATACATGAAAGGCAGTGCTGATGGGTAATTAATGGTACCAAATTATCCCCAGACATTTCTGACCTAGCTATTAGCTGCTTTCTCAAGTGCGTTTTGTGACACTAGATGGGCATTCATTCCCGTCTAAATTCTACAAGCATGTATCACTGATGCTGAAATGGATGATAAAGGGAGATTTGCTGGAGGAAAATACTGTCAGGTCATCTCGGACTAAACATTGTTAATTTGCGTCATACATGTCAGTATTAAATGTTTTCTCCTCTCTGTTTTTGGAAAGGTACACCATTTAACGGACATGCTGTAGCTCACAGTGAGGCTCATTGGAACCAGCTTGGATCCAGTGGAGTTTCCTGTTACCCTCCGGGCTCCGCCATGGACTTCTTCAATGACCCCAGCCTCTTTGTTGGAGGTTTGGAAGAGCTGGAGGAGGATGGCTTCTCCTCAGCTCCATCACTTGTGGATGAGCTAAATCTCACTGCTGACTTTGAGCCCCTCCAAGTGGAGCCTCTAGACCCAGTGAAGCACCAGGACATGATGCCACCAGTTACTACCCAACAAGCCATGCCCGCGTACAGTCAGCAGATGGGTCATTACATTGGCATTAAGGCACCGAATCCAATGAGTCAAGCGTTTTCTGGTTCTGGGGCCACAGGTAACGGTGGAGGAGGTGGCGGCGGCATGATTGCAGACCCACATGGCCAGTATCACAATGCTGCCAGAAGCCAAGTACCTCAATCTAATGGGCTGTTCTGTATCAGCAGCAGTCCCATGTGGGGCAACCAAGACCAGAATGGAAAAATGTACCACCCATTAACTCAACAGCAGCAACAGCTTTGTCATCAGCAGCAACAGCAACAGCAACTGCACAACCAGCAACTCCATGTCAGACAACAACAAACACAGCATCAGCAACACCACCCATGTCATCAACAACAGGAGCAACAGCAGCACAGAATGCAGCAGCAACAGCTGCAACAACAGCAAAGTCATCAGCAACAGCTGCTGAACCAGCACCAACAAATCAACACCCATGCAATGTCCCTACAGCAGCAACATTTTCCTTTTCACCAAGGAGGTCAATCACAAAGTCAGCAGCAGGTTCACCATGCCCAGCAGCAGGCTCAGCACCAAACTGCTGTAGGAGGACCAAGGTTTCATCCAAGGGCTAAGCCTTACATGGAGGGTCAAAACGCTTCTCTGAGTGGAACTTGCTTGCAACCTCAGCAGCTGCAGGGAAGCTACCAATTTACAAGGGGGGGCCTAGGACCAGAAGACCCTAACCTGCCATTCCCCATGCATTCATCATCCAGGGTTCAGTCCCTGCCCACTGCTTACCAGGCTGCTCAGTACCCTGCCTACCCTGGAGAGCCAGAAATACCCAGTCTCAGTCAGCAGTCTTTGTCCACAGACTCAGTGTCTATGGCCACCACCACCCCCCCTGCCTCCCTCTCTACTACAGTGCCTGAGCTCTCAGGGACAGTATGTCCATTCCCATCAACTGCAGTTATGAGGACCCCAGTAAGCCTGGGAGAGGAATGTCCTTTCCGGGCCTTACGGTGCTCTGGAGAAACCCAGGGAAACTGCGGGTCATCTGAGATGTTTGGCGAGTCTATGATCTGCTACCCTAGCCTGGCCAGCCAGTTGCCCTCTGAGCAGCCTCAGAGCTGCGGGGCCATCAACACTAATGGATATCAAGCCTTGGGTGACAATCTCCAACCACCACAGGCTCAGGATGGAGACTTGGAGGGCCTTGAGCCTCCTGACCTGCTGCCTGACCTACTGCCCCAGCTGGAGGCGGCTCTAAGCCAACAGGATGAATCCAACCATTCCTGGGCCGATTCCCGCCAGGAGAGGGGACGTAAGCACAAGAAACCACATGTTGAGTACGAGGAAGAAAAGGTAATCACTTGTTGTTGTTGTTGTTTGGTTCTTATTAAGCATTTATTGCCGGTTTAAGCACATCAAAGAAAGTATAATTCAGCCACACTGTAGAAGAGCATCCCTCCTGGTGTAATACTGTTTCTGCCCTAGGATGTATGTCTATTCATCCTAAGCACGCTGTCCTTTACCCCAATTCTCTTCTCAGTGTAGATTGATAAGAGTAAAGTTAAAATGAATAGCATCTCATATCTGCACATATCTGCTTTACTAAGGCAATCATTTCTTTGCTTTAAGAGAATATATGGGGTCTTCCCGGTGTAGCGTGGCATTGAATCTAGCCGCTTGTGTAATGTTTAACCAACTATCCCAGATACAAAATGTGCATGTTTTGTTGGAAACCTGCAATCAGTGGTGCAGAGGGGGAAGGTGAAGAGGCGGTACCTAAGGCCATCTGAAAGCCTTCTGAATATGATAATGGTCCGTCCAACGCGGCCTGTCTATCTGCCCAGTGCGGCGACAGCAGGTCAGGCCTGATTAGGCTAAGAGTGGCAGGAGTGTCTTCAGGACTTAGCTGTAAGCATACTTAGGGCTATATCAAGATGTGGGTCAGGGCAGGCCAGAGGCACTCGCATACTGCCTCGCTGGAGTGTGGGGGAAGCTGCACACTGTTGTGGTAGCAGCCACATTCTGTGTTACTGTGTGTGTGTGTGCACGTAAACATGTGAGAGAGCGTGCAGAAAGAAAAGAGTGTGGTGGAGGAGAGTGGTTAGCACTTGGGGGAGGGGGAGGGGGTTTCAGAGATGGAGAGAGCACTAGTTCATGGAAAAAGGAGAGGTTACGAAAGAAAGGAAGGGACAGAGACAGCGAGGAAGAGCATGAGAGGGGAAAGACGAGCAGAGGGGGAGGTTGGGAGAAAGCATTAGCTGGCTGTAACAGGCTGCAGGCGGTTCCTGGACCTCAGTTGGCTGGTAACGTAGCAGCATCCACACAGTCTCCTGGCCTACGGGGGACACATGACCAGCAGCATAAGCAACAGACACTTCATCATTGTTTGCACGCTTCCCATGAAAAGGACATACATTTCAACAAATCCATGTATTCCTTTATTCCTGATGGGTTAGTTCCCCCCATAAAAACAACAATTAAGCAAATTCAGTAGAGTGAAGTCGAAACAGATTATCTCAAACTAGAATCATGTAATGGGGAAAAAGTACACACTTTGTTTTCCATGACCCACCCCTGACAGTCTTTCTAATTTCCACTGACACCAAAGGAGTGTTGTTGCCGTTATTTCCCCAAACCAACCTTCTCTGTAGCTTCACTTAATGTTCCCTTGTATAGTGAACACATGAATGATTACCATTTTGCAGTGACAGTTTCAGTGACTCATTTTAAAACTCTCCAAACGGTGTCTTCCTTCTGAAACCAAACCTATGCCCACGAGCAAAAACACAACTTGTGTGCTGAGTGCTGGCTGCTCTCCTCCAACAGGTGACAACAAAATGTGTGGCTTGTGTGTATGAGCTCTGGTTAGTCAGACCATTTGCCCATCAGCAAAGGCCCTCAATTGAAATGGGGCCATGAACCACAGCCATGCGAACGAGCCTCTCCCTGTCTGTGTCAACATCCAGCCCCGTGTTGATGCTTACAGGCTGACTGTGCTATTCATGTGCACTGATGTGTGAAGAGCCTGCTGATAGTGTGTTTGCTGAACAGGCAAGGCATCAGGGGCTAGCTGGCCGCTCTTCACTCCCCCGCAGTGAATGCGGCTAATTAGGATTTGGGATTGATATGCTCCCAGGGTTCAAGATGGAATAGTGGTCCCATGTGGTTCAAAATTCAAAAGTTAAATAGAGTTAAGAGAATGTCTTACGCCCTGTGGCAAAGGATTTAAAATCAAATGAACAGATGTGTGTGTGTGTGTGTGTGTGTGTGTGTGTGTGTGTGGAATATCGAGCCTGTCCCGTGAATCATTGCAGCATCATTTAAGGACCGCGAAGGGCTTTCTCTTTGGAAGCAGTTGAAACTTAAAGGCAATCAAGCTCTAGTGAGACCCTTCTGAGCTGGTAATGCTTACTTTCTATTTGAGTCAGCAGACAGTCATAATGCCCGGGGGGAGTCAGGACCTCAAGACTGACATCTGTTGGATCTCTGTGTAGTTTGAAATAAACCAGTGTGGGCGAGGTTGCAAATCAGTGACTGGGACTTTCGTGGTAATTTGTCTGCCTGGTCACTGTATGGTTTTACTTAGTTAATTCAGTATGGATTTGTCGTAAAACTATTTTCTGAATGGTCATCTGGGGCATATTTGGAAAATGTCCACCTGCTGGAGACAAACAAAAGTGGGGTGTTAGTCATACTGAGTCTCTGATATTAATATACATCTGGATGATGCCTAACATTAGGGCTGTGCAATTAATCGTATTTTAATCGCGATTACGATTTTGGCTTTCAACGATTACGAAAACAACGTAATCGAAATAAACGATTATTATTTTTATTTAAAAAATAAATAAAAATGTAGTTATTATTATTTATTTTTTTCCAGTTGAATTATACTTAAAGTTCAGGGTAATCAACTCTTAAAAACATACGGTTCACTATTTTTTTAATAATAAATGGATGTTTTCAAAGTAAATGGATAATCGTTTTTAATAATCGTGATATCAATTATTGACCAAAATAATTGTGATTATGATTTTTGCCATAATCGCACAGCCCTACCTAACATGCTACTATTGTTGATCATTATTATACAATTTAAAGTCAGGGGCTGGGTCACAGTTTTAAAATGGTGTGCCGCTAATGTGAAGGTAGCCCTTGCCATGCCCAATAAAGCCGATGGCACAAGTTTGATGCCAAGTGGGGCTGACTGCCTTTTGCCCCACTGCTTTTCTCGTAGTGCACAAACGTTCATATACATTTTGTAGAAGATAGCAACTGTTGTCACCATGAACATGAAGAAAGACTTGAGACTTAACACCCGGTATATATTTATTAACCAATATGCCTGTAAAAATAACTTCGGATATAACTAGGGATGCATACCGGTATCCGGTATTACCGAAATACCAGTTACTGGTGGCTACGGTATGCCGTACCGAAATCAGATCCGGTTTCGATACTTTAAAAAAAAAAAAAATATGTTAAAAAAAAAAATGGCCGGTGTTATAAATTAGATTGCATAATCGTTTTTCTTCATATTGTATGTATTTTTCATTGTTTGTTCAATACTAGAAAGGTAAAAGTCCCACAAATGAACTGTGATGGGATTTGTTTTCTCTCACCAGTGAAGGCAAATGTTGATTTTAAAGATGAGATTTGTTTGTTTGTGCAATGCCGAGATCTCATGACCTTTATTCTACTATTTATTTGTTCTCTAGTCGAATCTCAGGTTTAACATTACGGTAATTATAACGGTGCTATAACGGTCTGTTTGCATTGACAAGATGTGCTATTGACGCGGCAAAGCTGATGGCGGGTGTTAGAAAAGATATTCCATAATCGGTTTCTGTCATATTTTTTAAATGGTATGTTGTCATTGTTTGGTTCAGTACTAAAGGGTCCAAGAAGTTCCACAATTTGATCTATATTCGATCTTTGACATGCTGTTAACCTTGTATGCTAAGCTCCTCTTCCATGGCGGAGTAATTTGTGGGACTTGCTTGAGCCCTTAGTACTGAACAAACCAGGTGAAACATACATAAAATATGAGAAAACCGATTATTGGAAGCTTTTTTTCTAACACGCCCCGCCATCAGGTGTGCGCGTGAATAGCACATTTTGTCAATGCCAACAGACGGTTATAGCACCGTATATATATCTCGGATTAATGTTAAACCTGAGGATTTCGGACTAGCAGAACAAGATGAATATCAGAATAAGGTCATGGATCTCGGCATATGCCACAACAAACAAATCTCATCTTCTAAAATCACATTTGCCTTCACTGGCTGAGAGGAAACAATCCTCACAGTTCATTTGTCGGCCTTTTACCTTTCCTAGTATTGATACAACATGAAAATCATACAATTATGAAGAAAACGATTATGCAATCTCGAATTTTGTGCCGGCCTCATTCTTTCTTTTCCTCTAACATTCTTTCTTTCTTGTTTTTTCCTTTCTCTCCCGGCTCAACTCGGAACCCGGATCCTGACTCTTCGGTACGCGGACCATACCGTACCGCCACCAGGTAACTGGGTGTTTTCGGTCCGAATCCGTGTACCCGGTGTATGGCCATTCCCTACGTTCTCTCCGCAAGTTACCTTTTACGGCATACTTGCCGTCTTTAAATAAATATCCATACTGCCCGGGTGTTAAGGCTCTCCCAGTCTTTCCTTCCCCCGTTCATCGGTGACACCCCAACACACGTTGCTATCCTTCCCCTCCCTACAATAATTCGCTATATGAACGTTCTGTGCAACTGTCACGCCGCAACGCCGGTGCTGCAAAACAAACGGCAGTTCGCCCCCACTTGCGCTCACAACTTGTGCCCATCGGCTGTACTTGCCGCGCTGGCAAGGCGTACCTCCTCCATTAGCCCCGGCACCACCATTTTGTAAAAACAAAACCCCCCCATCGCTCGCCGCCTGACTTTTAATCTGCTCCCCTCCACCACACTGGATCAACCCAATGTTAGCAATGCTCTACGGCTACGGCGCCTGTGCCCGATTTCATGGCAAACAACTTACATCCCATTTTTAACGTCATTCGCGCTCATGACCTTGCCTTCCACCGACTTCCTTCTAACAACCGATTACTCCTTTGACTCTTCTGAGCAGAACTCCACTTTATATTTAAAAACAAATAACCGTAGAACGGCCCATATGGCTTTTTAAGGGAGTTGATCCTCGCTTTAGCCGTATCACTCAACTGGGAACCCCTGACACCCTTCCCATCCTCAACCTAACTACCCCCATTTTTTATCCTTATTTTTTCCTACCATAACACACTCCAACCCTAATCGTCTATTTCCCGCTTCGCCGTTGTCCCTCCTTTCGCTCACTCGGTTGAACGCCCAACGCTCCCATTGCAATCGGCGCATTCAGCCCCCCCGCTCTATTGCACAGGCCCTATGTTAGGCATCAGTCCGCTCACGATGTATATTAATATCAGAGACTCAGTATGACTAACGCACCCCACTTTTGTTTCTGTCTCCAGCAGTGTGGAACATTTTCTCAAATAATGCCCGCAAGATGACCAATCAGAAAATAGTTTTACGACCAATCCATACTGAAACTTACTCAGCCTGTCCCCAACCCACTACAGCTGCACCACGACAGCCACACTCCCC